TCCACCCTTCCTCTTCCCTCTCCTTGAAAATCATCCCACCAAACAAGGGATAAGACAACTTAGAAGTAATGATATGGCTCACAACTAAGAACCAAATCATGCAGGTCTGATGTTCTTGGTCGGTTCATGCCTTTGGTCGGGAAGGATTGGACTCATTCTGGAATTGCAAGACTTTTTTCGGAAATAAAGGTATGTGTGTTCTCTTTAGGTGAACCGTCCCTATTTTGAAGATTTTATATTTTATGTCCTCTTCCTCAGTGATGAAGTACCAGAAATGGGTGCATTTTCCTGGACGTTCTGCCTCCACTAGGATATTATTAAGTCCTATTTAAAGAATAAAAATGTCCATCATTACTGGACGTTCTGCCTCCACTAGGATATTATTAAGTCCTATTTAAAGAATAAAAATGTTTAAGTCCTACATTAGAAAATGACTTATGTTTTAGTCCTATCTAGTGCAAATTTCACTTTAAGTCATATTCTATACCTTCATCTTATTGTTTTCAACAAATAGTTTTCGGTAACTCATGGATATCGAGCTGAAGGAATGAGCCATCAAGACCCAAACATGATAATGTTGTCGATCGAGACCGTGATCGGGCTAGTGAAGATAGACGCGGCCGAAGAGACGTACAGTAACAAGGGCTTAGCAAGGGCCAGAGGATTGTTTAAGGAAGGGAAGCGTGAAGCGTAATACGTGAGATCGTGGGGATTTGGAGGGGATCGTTAATGGGTTTCTCGACCACAATTAGGGTACAATCCATGATATTTTACAACATATATAGCGATGCACGATTGCCTTACCTTATACAAGCTAAATCAGGGTAATCTAAGAATACAAGAGTTATATTTCATTTTATGTTGTTCTTATTTAGATACGAGTTAGTTCTTTGTGCTTCTATAGCCGTTGGGCTAAATCCCATCAATAACTTGATTGATAAAAAAATATGGGGAATAAAATATTTCATAAAAAAGGGATGATTATTTTGTATCGAGATAAGGAAGGGAATTCAAGCACCTTCAAACTCCTAGGGAAAAAATAGACGAGAAGAGGGAGGGAACCGCAAATCTTTGTTCGGTAGAAGAAAAGAACGAGAGAGAGGAGAAATGGTTTAGGGTTAGGGGGAATTGTTTCTTTATTGCTTGAATAATAAATTCATGAATATTGGCTACATAAATAAATTGTAGAGCTAAAGAGTCGTAGACATAAAAGGTAACTAAATATGTAACACCTTAATCCGTCCATGCCTGCATGCAGACCTTTTTGGACTAAAGTATGAACTTGGTAATTGTAAAAATATAAAACATTTCAAACACTTTTATTTATCAGAATAATATTTTTTATAACATAAATAGTACAGAGTTTTCAATGTTGCGGAAGCTTAACAAATCATTATCACAAATCATAATTTATATATGTCCTTCAATTCAAAACATCACATCCATCCCGACTATCTTACCTCCATCTGCCTCAAGGATCACGTCACATCATTCTTTCTATTTACCTGCGTGTAGCAAATAAAATATATTAAACGCTCAGTGCTTAAGCTATGTAAGCATATCTAATGCATAGAATATCTATATAAATTGAATCTCAATTCATAATCAAATTATTTGATATCATGCACATAATGTTCAATTCAAATATTCATCATTATTTTGATATTGTTTAGTTCTTATCAATACATGTATTCAATTCAGATAATCAATATTCATGATTTTGATATTGTTCATTTCAGACATTCAATCATCAATATTCAATACTCATATTCATATTCAACATTCATCAACAATATCATTAAACTGTTCTTAGTCTAAGGCCAATTTCTTTAATGTGTATCAACTCTTAAATTAATTCTAGTTTAAGATACGTGTAACCAACTCTTAAGCTATGGTAGTTTAAGGTACAACAAAGAGCTGAGGTACGTACACACGAAGGGGATTACTCAACAAAGCAAACGGTGATTGCCCTAGGAAACTCCGAATATGAATCCTTCAAAAAAGGGCCGTGTAAGACAATCCAAGATATGAACAAGAGGTTCAACGAGATTGTTAAGAAATTGAGTGAGTTGGGTAAGACGTATACTACTTCCGAGCTTAATACGAAAATTCTATTTTCTTTACTTAAAAAATGACATATTAGTATCGTAGATTTATTACCCAAATGTGATAAGGCCGAAACCACTCACATTTGGTCTTCTTTGTATTCTCATAACTTTTGTTGAAAAAGATAAAAGAGGAAGAAAGGCTTGCAAACCCCAAACTTACCAATGCCTTCAAAGCTTCAAACGACTCATCAAGTGAAAAGTCAAGTGAATCAATTGATGATTCAAGTGACTCAAGCTCTTCGGAAGAGTCAAATGATGTAGGATTTGTAGCTCACTTTGTTTTTTAAAAAACGTTTTGGGCATAAAGTCTTAGGTGTGAGTGTGTAAGGTGCATTTTGTTTTGGTCTATTGAACGAGGATATTCAAGTCTAAGTGTGGGGGTATTTAATAAATTGATGTTGGGTTAATTCTTTTTATTCGATTTTAGGTATTTTTATTATTTTTAGATTTTAATTTTTAATTGTTTAGCTTAGTTTTATTTTAGTTCTTATTTTTACAATCTTTTATTTTTCTCGCATAAATAGTACGGAGTATCTTTTTAATCATTTTTTTACATCTTATTTTTTTTATTTTATTTTTCCTAAACCAAATTATCAGATATCTTTTTTTTTGGAAAAAAATTGTAGCAAAAAGGCCAAGATGTAGTTTAAGTTTTAAAATAGAAATTGATTTTGGGTCGGAAACCAAAACCCATCATTAAATCAACAAATTAAAGAATCAGCCCACTCCTCTCCTCCCGGGAAAAAAAACCGGAGACTTCATCTTCTTCGCGTAAAACGGGCGACCAAATCCTGCAACGTCTCCTCCAACGTTCGGCTCCATCAATTGCGCAGCAATCAATTCTCCAACGGGAACATTTTCAAAGGGGCATCTTCTTGCAATAAATGGGAGAGGGATTGCAATTGGAAAAGGGGGGATTCACAAGGGGGAATCGGACGAGAATAAAGCCGCTTCAATGGTGGCGGCCGTCGACGACGGTGGTGGCGGTCAGCGGTGGTGATCTCCAACTCCAGTCATGGCTCCAATTCTTCAATTTTCATCTTCTTCTTTCTCCATTTGGTAACCCTTATTGGTCAATTTTATCTTTTCTTCTCCAATTCTATGTAAAAGTTTGTTTTTTATTTAGTTTTTACATGTTTGTTTGCTTGTTGTGTTAATTTGGAAAAATTCCAAAATTATGGTTGGTGTTCTTTTTTTGAGTTTTTTAAATGTTTTTATTAAATATCTTATATATGAAAATTCATTCTTACTAGTTTCTTCAATTTTTGCGCAAATTGATGTTAAATTGGTTGAATTATAAATTTGAATTCATAAGTAGGTTGGTATGTCGAATTCGGTTATCATTAAAGATAATTTAGCTCCATATTTTAGTTAAATGATTCTCGAATTCATACGTGAATCTTTTTTGTGGCTTGTGTTTTGTAAAATTTTAAGGTAAATGAACTTTTTAGGCCTATAAGTTGAACGTTTTCCTTAAGATTTGTTATAGAGTAATTGTTTATGTCTTGGTGTTCTTGTTTGTTATTTTCATAAAAATTGGGATTGTTTAAGCGCAATAAACAACTCTCGATTTTATCAAAATATGTAATGTTCATTTATGTGAATAGATTACAATTCTTATGCTTGAGTAGTTCAAGGAGACTTGCAAAATATTTTCATCATTAGACATTGAAGTTTATTAAAGTGTATAAATGTTCTTCGTGAATAATTTGTGCATAGGAGTTAGAATGAAAGAAAGATTCGCTCTTTTATAAACTTTTTCATCTTTTAGAATCATTGTTTGAGCGCTTGAGGTGAGTGGAGGTTCAAAACTTCAAATTGGTCCAAAAGGCTTTTGAATCTTGACTCCGGGCCTTATAGAGATTTGAAGATCCTCTATATGTGGTCAAGGATATAATTATATGAATCAACTCGAGCCTTTGAATTCTTTTCTATTTTTAAGTGCGTAAGTTATGTAATATATTGTCTAAGTACCTATTATAAATGTAATGTTCGTTTTGTGTTCGTTCTCTTTTTCATTTTGTTTCGGGTTCTTGGCAGTGTTTCTTGGGTTACCTTAGTTGGAGAAGTTGATTATCTATAGAGCTTGTTTCCCTCGTTTTATCAAAGAAACCAAAACAATAAGAAAAATATAAAAAATCAAAAAATATTTACTTTTCATCTAACCCCCCCCTTGTGTTTTAAGTTATAAATATACGTTTTTATACTTTGTTTACTTTTATATACTTAAGTATTTGTTATGAGTTTATAAGTCATATTATAAGTTCTTTGTTTATAAAAGTTATATTTATAAGTTATTATATTTATTTAGTTATAAGTTTTATTATAAGTTTTATATGTCTTATCATATGTGTAGTAATTTGTTTGTTTTGTTTAGTCACAATGTGTGTGCATGCTAATTTGATTTAAAAAGTACAACATTTTTCCGTGAGATCGATCCTTACTTGCCCTAGCTATAGTTTTATTTGATTATATATTGGGGGCTAGTTAAGGTTATTTATAAATTTTTAATTTGTTTTATACCTCACGACAAGTCATCAACAGATCGCTATTGAAATAAAAAATATCTGTCAAGTCTGTATTGAATATTAGTTTAATAAAATAAAATCTTGAAAATTATTAATGAGATAAATCTAATTAAATTATTTTTATACTGGAGTTGATATTAAGCCACTATATGATACGATCATGTTCAATAAGATAAATTTAATTAAATTATTTTTATATACTCAAGTGGAGTTGATATTAAGCGACTAAGTGATACGAGCATGTTCGACTATGAATGCAAAATTAAAATGGATTTAGTGCAACTTATTATAGTAAAAGAGATTTGGGAATCAATTAGAAGAGGTGAAGAGAATCGTACAGATAAACATATTATTTGATGTATAATAATTTATAGCATTCAATATAATATTATTGTTCTTATAATACAATGTAATATTTGATGTTTTCATTAATATTATTTCTTATAAATACCATTATTATTGTTATAATAAATTTGGTATTGCCATTAGTGTTATCCTGTATAGTATATATATAAATGAGACTCGAATCTCTAAGAAAATGACATTTGAAATATTCAAAACTTGACATGTGGCGCATTAGAAATTTGACATGTGGCATATTAGGTGGCAATTTAACCAAATTTACTCTCTTTCATTATTTCACATTTTTTACTCCTTTTTAAAAAATGATATGGAGCAATTACTTATTTTGAACCCATAAATTCAAATTTGGAATCAAAATTATTTTCCGTGTAAATTATAACTTTTAATAAAATATCATTTTTTTTAGGACTCTACGAAAAAATATTTTTAATGAAATAATGGAAGTTGTGATAGGTGAAAGAGGAAGTTTCTTTTTTTGTGTGTATAGTTACGGTTGAACTGGAAAAATATTTCTCTAGAAATCTTTGTTGTTTCTCTGATGTCAAATGTTAAGGTTGTTCTGAATGTCGCATCCAACTACATTGTAACATTGCTTTTGCCTAGGGGAAGGAGATTCGAGATTTTTAATCCTTTTGGTGCTAACTGAGTACTCATTGTGTTCCATGAAATAAGGGAGCCCGAAAGTAGATCTAATCCAACAAGTATAATCATACAGGATTTATCATCTACGATGAATATATTTTCTTTTGAGACATTGGATTGAACAATGAGAGATATAATGAGGTTCTCTAATAATAACTTCATAATTGAACCATTCATAGGAAATAGTTGTACTTAAAGGAAATTGTAGGTGCTACCACCAATTCCTCACAAATATGGTTGTATTGTAAAGTTTAGACGTTGACCAAGAATATGAGATTACATTAATCTACACTTTCTTGCGCAGATAGGGACACACAAGTATTTTCTGATTGGATAATCAAAGTCGAAAATGGAAAATTTAGATAAGTGATCGATGGAATTGCTGAGGTTGAAATCTCAGCTGGATTTTTGATTCTTGACACAAGTTATCCCCTCAAGAGTATAATAGACTTCACTTATCTGAACCTATTTGAAAACATGAAAAATTATTCTTTTTTTTTGGATAGTGCACTATTAGCACCCATGCTCGAGTTTGTTGAATGGTAAATGAATTTGTTCTATCCCTTATTCTAGGAGGTGAAAAAAGGACTACTTAAGTTCTGATTCTTCATGCAAAATTGATTTAGATGTAATAAAATCAAATGCTTGGGGATCCTAAACCACAAAATAGTTTTTAAAAAGGGGTTACCGATTATGTCATTGAAGAGTATTGACCAAATATCTAGATTGTGTAATGGTGGAAGATTAATCATTGAGAAACTCAAAAAGAACATTATCTTCAATTGAGGTTTTGGGAAATGTTGGAAAAAAGATTCAGGCCATCCGCATCGGCCGGACTAGAAAGGAGGAGGAGAAGAGTGAGAGGTTGTTTGTTTCAGCCTCTTAATGGTTTAGATATCTGAATGGTTCAGCACTTAATAGTTCAGACTGTTTGTTTCAGCCTCTTAATGGTTCAGATGTCTGAATGGTTCAGACATTTACCTCTGAATGGTTAAGTATTATACAAAGTCTGAATGGTTAAGACCTCTTATCTGAATTGATCAGACATTTGCCTTTGAATAGTTAATCAATATACTAGCTCTTAATGGTTCAGACTTCTTACTGGTTCAGCACTTATTGATTCAGACCTCTTACTGGTTTAGCACTTACCTATTCAAAAGTTGCCAAACAGCCCCTGAGTACTCCTCTCATTAGACGGACGAGTTGGAGGAGGACTCCTTCTCCGGCGCAATTTTCCCGACAAAAACGGAGAGGTAGTGCTCCGCGGAGAAGAAGAACAAGAGGAAGAAATTGGCCAACCAAAGCATGCCATGTGTCCTCTTAGCTTTCATATCTATCTAAATTTTCCATAATCAATTTTTTTAGAAACCAATTTGAAAACTTTTACAAAATTGTATACCATAAACTACAAATTTATTTACAGGGAAAAAAATAATTAAATGTTTTAAGATTTTTTTGTGGCAGCTCTTAACTTTTTTTGTTGGGTTAGTTATTTTTTTATAAAAATGTGTTGAATTAACTTTGGAAAATAATTTCAAATATATTTTTTATTTACTAATTTTTTGAAGAAATTTTACATGTTTTAGATTTAAAAATAATTTTACACTTTTCCATTTTCTTTTTTAGAAAAATAGATATGGTAACATTTGTAATCCTTTTGATGTAAGAGATGTGGAGGAGTGAAAGGAAAAGTTATGTAATGGGACACAAAATGATGACGTGGAAGAGTCTTATTTTTACTATGACTATTAATAAAAGTCCAGGTCAAGCATTGTCTTTTGGTGTATTTTTTTTAACCAATTCAATATTTACTCATGGTTAGCTTTATGCTACTTTTTCACAAGTGAAGGTAAAGACTTGATTAAAAATATTGATTCTAGATGATAATAGAAACTTTTAAAACCATACCAAAAATATTGTGTACCCTAAAATCTTTCAAAAAATTTGCAATTTTAAAAACAAATTCGAGTACACACTTTCAATTCCTCAAACATTATTTATTCTACTTTTTCGTTGTTGTCTATTGATTAAAAAGCGTGTTATAAATATATTTACTTGATTTTGGAAAATTTATTACATTGAAAAAAAATCAGAATCGACAAAAATTTTGTTCGACCCCGTACGTCGCACGGGTCAAAACACTAAATGTTTTTATAAGAATCACTCTTATTGTTATTATAAGAGTCATTCTTATTGTTATTACATTGATCTCACTATGGGTAACATTATTAGCCTTGTTCAAATTGCAATCTTCATACTTCCATAATAAAAACATGATATTCCCTTCGTCTCCCAATTTTTGTCCACTTTCATTTTTACACAACATCCAATGCACTTCTTTAATCTATTTTATCTTATAATTTGTATATTAAAAAATTATAAAAATTATATATTAATAATCTATATGTTAAGACAAATCAAACAAGATCACACATAACTATATTTAGGCTTACACATTGAGAGAATTTGATAAGTCAAAGTGCTTAGATGAACAGTTTCAAAAGTCAAAAGTGGACAAAAACTACGGGACGGAGGGAGTAATATAAAAAAATATTTCTATTGTTATTATTATTATTATTAAACCTATTGTTATTTCTATCTTGATTACAAATATTATAATTACTAATAATACTAATTTTTTAACATTAGTCATTTTTAAATAACGAATTTGATCTAATTTGAATGGATTTGGTCTGATTTAATTTGAATAGATTTGATCTAATCTAATCTGAATAAATCTAATCAAATCAAAACACGTTTTATTGAATCTGATATGAATGGATATAATCTGATATAAACAAATCTGATCTAATATAAATGGATGTGATTTAATCTAAACTAATTTGATTCTGATAAGAATAAACAATACACAACGAAAATAAGTTGAAGAGAAGGGTATCTTACTCTTAAGATCTTATATGGGGGGAGATTAAAAATGAGATTTTACAGGTCCAGGTTTGGCTTGAGGCCCAATTAAAATTATTGGCCCATTTTCGAAGAGGGGCTAAAACAGATAGAATTACTTGGAGAGGGGAAGACAGGGCAGAAAGAAAACCCCTGAACTCGGCCGCGATGGCGCTGCTTTGGCTCTCTCCGACCTCAATTCCCACGGCGGCGGCGGTATGGAATTCTTCTTCTTCATCCGGCCGCCGAGTTATCTCTCGACCGCATCAGAACCACGCTTATTCGATGCTGCTGCTGCGGCGGCAGCATCTAGGCCTGATACGCAGCGCCGTTTCGCCTGACCGTCGGAAGTCACAGGTTGTGCGTATGGCTCCTGAAGAAGAGAAGTTAACTCGCCGTTCTCCTCTCGAGTTCCCCGCGGTTAACTCTTTATCCATCTGCTTAGATTCCTATTTCACCATTATCGCTCTTTGTTTTCACTGTCTCTCAATTATTCTTCTATGTTACACATCTATCTTTCTTACAATTTTGAAATTCGATGCTTCATCAGTTGCAGTCTTACATTTCAAAGTATGAATTTCAATTGTCTTTCTCGTTTGCTCTGTAATTTTAACTGAATCCACCTTCTAGACAAGAAATACTGCTACTTAAAAAAACCATTTTGCTTTACAAAATCACTATCAACCAAACAATTCTATTGTCCTTGAATATTTGTATCTTGTACCAAAATGAGGCTGATGTAATAATGTAAAAGCTGGAAAATTGATTTATTTGGACTTTGTCTGCGAGTGATTATATTGACACTGTGTTGTGACCTATGAGCTTTTGGTGGCTTTGCATTCTGAGCATAAAAGTTGAAATTAACAAGTTTACATGTTCAGTTGGTTGAATAATGTTTTATTAAGAGATTGAGTCTTTGAAGAAAATGGATTTCCACTGTGAATATGCTGTTTGGTCCTTCCTTGAGAAGTAATGAACGCTTGTTATATATTCAATAATGGCAGGAGTGGGAGAGACCAAACACGGGTCGCAGACCAGATATCTTCCCCCAATTCACCCCTATGAAAACTCCACTGCCTCCTCCATTACCAGCCGATCCTCCTCCGGAAGAGGACGAGGAGGAAGAAGAAAAGGAAGGGGAAGAGGAGGATCATAAAGAGGATCAAGAAGACCCTGAAAATGAAGAAGAACCAGAGCTACCGGAAAGAACACAATAACTTGCTAAGGGCATAGAGTTGTTATCGCATTTGGTTAATTGTGCCGATGTGACCTTTATATCTATAACCGGATGAGATACTGGTTGGTTTGAATCATTTTTGTGCTCTCTGTATGTAAGCATATGTTAAATGATATGGAGTATATTTTTGTTGTTGCGCATGCCCTTTTCATTTACGGAGTATATAGAAATATAATGAGATTCAAGATAGACCATCGGTACGTTCAGAAAAACCACAATATGAATGTGAAGCTGTCATGTCCTTCCTGCCTTCCTAAACTTGTGGGAAAAACTCACAATCTAGACCCCAACCATGTTAAATAGACCACTCAACCCTTGTGACAATGTTGAATTCCTACCATTATGTTTCGAGTCTGCCAACTGAGTCCATCACTTGGGGTCTGTTCTTTATGACTTGAACTCTTAACTTCCAGTTCTTTTCAGTTCCTTCTAGTTTTTTCCAGTTTCTTCCAGTTTTTTCCAGTTTCTTCTAGTTTTTTCCAGTTTCTTCCAGTGTTTTTCAGTTTTTTCCAGTTTCTTCTAATTTCTTCCAACTATATTTATTTTCTTCAAATTCTTTCTACTTTCAGGCAAATCACTCTAAAAAAATATATTATTATTATTATTATTATTATTATTATTATTATTACAATTTTTTTAATTAAAACTTTTATGTTCATAACTATAGTTTATAAATTATTTCATTTTTTCATCACTATTTTTATGATTTACATTCATTATTTTTTTTCTTCAACTTTTTATTATGAATAATACCATTTTTATGTATATTAATCTACATGAAAAATTAGGAAACTATTTAAAAAATTATGGTTAAATGATTATATAGAATATTTTTTAATCTAAATTTATATAAGGTAAACATCAATATTTTAATCTAAAATATAAAATATGGAATGTGGTGGGGAGTACTACATTATGAAAACCAAGAGAAAACTACATTTTGAAAAAGAAAAAAAGACCCAAGAAGTGTAAAATGGAAATTCAACTAACAAATAACATCACCAATAATTAAAATACAACTAACAAAAAAACAAATCTGTGGCCCTTATAATTTCTCACTCCTTTGCATCAGTTTGAATCGACGAGGTCGTGGAGGACGACGAAAAGACGGAGGATTTAAATCCTGAGAGCGACGTCAATACCGGGGGGACCATATGTGAGCTCGAGACCTCCGAAGGTCCCGGGGAGTTAAAAATTTACTTCTGATTTATTTAAGTATCATTTTTAGAAAAGATTGCATTATTTGGGGTACTAGCTTACACTATAAGGAAGTGATAAACATGGAGACCCATAGAGGTTATGGTTCGGTGAGCAAGCACCTCAAATCAAGGCACCCTGTGGAATTTGCTAAGCTAAAGGGAAAGGGGAAACAAACACAAATTCTCGTTTTTTGAACAAGGGTAAGGGCGGTCTCTTTGTTTATAGCGATGAGCAAACTAAACAAAGAATGATTGAGATGATTCATGAAGAGAATTTTCGTAGATGTTCTATTAAAAATGTGGCTTTATTGATTATTTTCAAAATGCATTAAAAGACTCAAGTTAGAGGTTTCAAGAAAGACAATAAAGAGAGAAATGATTAGACAATAAAAAATCACTTGCAAATAAAAAGTTATGGTGATGCCAAGAAACGGAGTATAAAAATATAAAATACATAGGGGGGCAACTCATTTTGACTTGCAAAGTAATGAAAAAAATGATATATTTACCTATGATATTTTTAAAAAGTCAAAATAATAAGGAAACATGAAAAACGTTACAATATACGTCAAAAGTCAAGACTCGAAGCTTCATTTAAACTATGAGCCACAAATTGGAGTGGACCGGGTTAGAACGGTCCGGATTTTTTTGTGCTTCAGTCCTAGTTCATTTTTTTAGAATGTTCGGATATAGATTTTTTTATATCCATTTTGGGAAAAACAAAAATTGTGATAATTTTTTGTGTTATATCATTATATAAATAAATAGATATAAATATATATATACGGGACAATATGGTCCCATTTTAAAAAGGTTTGGAAAGGGTATGAACAAAATTTTATTGAGTAATGCTAGAGTCACAAACAAAAAGTTCACAAAATTCACAAACTTGTTTTTTTAAAACTTTCTTAGAAATAAGATGATCTCAAATAATAAAAGATATTTTATTTTAAAATCCACAAAAGGCAAGATTGTGAAATTTGTGAACTATATTTTGTGACTCTAGCATTTTCCAATTTTGTTATTATTAACAAAAAATGCAATTTTATAGGGAGAAAAGAGGATATTTCTGGTCGGATAACCGGTTTGGAGATTCTCTCCACCCCTACTAGAAAGTCTGAAATAGATGGCTGGAAGGAGAGAGATCTGAGTGTCTGACCACCGCAAAGGCGCAAACTTCCTTCACGATTGCCTCGTGGAGCGTGGAGCTTCTTTCTCGTCGCCTCCATCATTCCTCTCTACCCGTCTGCAGCAAAGAAAGCTCCCAATAGCCCCCCCAGCACTACAACCAACCGGATTCCAACCGCTTTCAAACTGCAATCCCTATGCCCGTAGTCCCTGACCCGACCCAACCTAGCGGCATTCACCACTGGACATCTCGCCACTGCTGGAAGAAACTCCACCTTGAACAATCCGCACTCCTATCGTCTAACAGTTAACAACACCGCGCCTCTATTATACAGCCGTATCCCTGCCCTCTCAGAGGCATTTGATCTCGTATCCAATCAACGACATGCCAATTGGAGTATCCCGCACTTGTCCTAGGCGTGTCTCTGTGTCCTAGAGGCAATTCCTTCAAAGGTGTGGCGTGTCAGTCTTTCATAGCTCTTGTGAGGTATTGTGTTTTGGAGCTGGGGAAAAATAAAAAATAAAAATAAAAAATAAAATAAAAAAGTTTACATTGTGAATTGTTAAAAAGAAAAAGGAGATGATGGGTAGTACTGGGCAGAGTGAGTCAGCTTATGCAGCTACTCGTACTGTATATGGAGTATCAGAACCAATATCTACTGGTGGCCCGACAGAGATTGATGTTGTGAAGAACAACGAGTTGGAAAAAGTTGGTTCATTTATTCCTTCCTTAATTCTTAGTTTTTGTATTTTTTGCTTTGCTCATGTGCTGGGTTCTCACCTTTAGGAAAGATTTAGCAACATATGTGTGCTGCATATGGAAATTGAAATTTGATTGATCAAGAGAAAAAGAGATGCAAATGCAGTGGCTAAGAGATTTGACTATTAGACATAAATGTTGATAATGCCCATCAGGATTAGAAAACTATATGCTTTGAATTCTACAAAATAAATGAAGAAAAAAAAAGTGTTGGATACACTGTGGCACGAATCACAACTTCAAAAATTTGTCTAGGGCTTTACAACCGATAGCTGGAAACTGACTTGCTAGTACTCTAGCAGCATTACAGCTTTTTTCCAAGGAACAATGGATCCCATCATGATTCAACATATGTGGAGTACTATATTTGTATTAGGTTTGCTTATTGATGTTATTCTCACTTGATTAAGTAGGGAGTGAATCTCATCTTATATAAGTAGGGATTTTTTTGGGACTCACAGAGGAGATTTTTGTTGGGAAGGATGAGTTGGGGGAGGGATCAAATGAGTGGCAGAAGAGGGGGGGGGGGGGAGTACCCGCGAGGTGATTCCGGCGAAGGTGCCATCCGCATAGGCATTGTGTTTTAGAGGGGTTTTTATGAAATATGAAATGATTTTAGCGCGGTGGTGCTCCCCAAAAATTCTTAGATATAAGGGATTTTTATTTAGCCTTTACAGCTTTAATACTCTTTAAAAACATTTTATTCCAACTTGGCTTTGATGGAGATTGTATGCCAGAATAAGATTGATGGTCAATTACTGATAAGACGTTTCTAATTAGTTTCTTGCAGATGCTGGATTGTATGAAAGTCAAGAAGAAGCCATTAAAAGAGAGGAAGTCTTAGGGAGATTGGATCAGGTTGTTCTTTTGCATTTGACTTTAGATTTTCTGTTCCTATAAAGTGATGCATATGTTGCTAATTGTTGGAAGTACAACAGATTGTGAAGAAGTGGGTGAGGAATGTCAGTCGTGCTAAAGGTCATAGTGAACACCTTGCACAGGAAGCAAATGCGAAGATTTTCACATTTGGTTCATACCGACTAGGAGTATGCATTTTACATACCTTACTTTTGCTTTTATCTTTTCACAATTTCTCAAGTTATTAAATGTTTTCATAATGGGCATGTCATTATTTACATACCCATAACTTTATTTACAATAACATATTATGGCTCAAATTTTCTTGGTCAGTTGTTTTAATTTTCCACATTCATAAAGTAAAACCACTCTATAAATTTATAATACTCTGTAGTTGCTAAAGTTGCAATAAATCTTCATTTATTTCAATTGCTAGTCCTTTATTTCAGTCTTTTACGCTTGTTATGCTGCATCAGAATTCATAAAGTGGTCAACTATTCCAAACTGTACTCATCAACTTGCCTGTCACATTTGGATAATTTAGTAGTATTTAAGTGAACTATGTGTTTTTCATATGAAACAGTGCAAACTAGGAAATTATTAATAATTCAGGAAATTGTGATGATGTAATAATCTCCTTTTATTCGATACATAAATTGCAAGTTGGGTGTTGGCAGTAAAGATTGATAATGGTTTTGTTGGGCATGGCTTGCGTTTCCCATTGTTTTCAGATAGAATAAAAAGGATGGGTACACCTTTGTTACTTGAGTTTGTTTGTTGGTATTCTATATACGCTTTCAATAGAAAACTGATCTATGTATTGGCTTCTTAATAGTGATTTCGTTATGGAAACATGTATTTTGTTGAAACCTGATGTTTGTGAATGAATATTGGGCATAGCTTTTTGTTTCTTATTCCCATGAGTCCATGACACAGAGGCACAATATTTAGGAGTTTCTTACAAGGGCCAATAGATTGAAAAGGCTATTAGGGGATTATTTTTAATGGAAGTGTATGATTCTACTATGGGTAGTTTGTTATGCTTGTGATGTCTATTGTGGAGTTTTTGAAAAGGTAATTAAAACCACATGGTCTGTGGAGGCACATTTTTCCCGCTCGACTTTGTTGAGACTCTTAGGATTCATGTAGATAATAATGCGGTGACAGAACTACTTTTGTAGCCTTCTTAACAGAAGAGAAAACAATGTGGTAATGAGACTACAAACTAGCAATTGCTGGTGCAATAAAGTCTTATCAGTAGTGGAGTTGAGCTATTTTTGAATTTTTTGGGCGTCAAGAATGTGGGGCCATTTTAAACCATGCCTAGAACTGCCATTGTGTAGAATAGCAACTAGCAAGAATTGAAATACTCCGTATCTTTTAGAACAACCATGCAAAATCAGCCAATTTCCATGAGTATTTAGTAAATAAAAGAAAGGCACATAATAACATCTTACCACAACCACACTATTGGTAGGAAATACTCATTTCACCGATGATTACATAACATCTTCAACAGATTGGTGATAATTAAACATTTGTGTAATTGTGTCACTGTAAAGTTGCAATAAACAATACCGAGTTTCATAATTTTGACCTCAATATAGGTATTCTTTTGCAGATTCCAACTTTTGTAGTGGATGCTGTTGTAGCCTTGTTTATTCAATCATTAATAATTATACATTTTCTAAATTTCCAGTGATCTCAAATTCTGGAATGACTCCGAAGAAGCATATGATGAAAACAAATTTCTTTGAATTGTTCTCTTCCATGTTTGGAATGATGATAAAGTCATCTGTAGTAGTAATCTGTAAAGGCTGTTTGGAAATTTTTCCAGCATTCCATTTCATTAGTGAACCTAAATTCCTTGCAATCCTTAAGTTTGGATTGATTGGAATTTGGAACTGCCCAGAGAGGTAGGAATATGTTCATAAATCATAAATGCTTTCTGATATCTGATGACCTTTTACTACTGAGCTCAGTAGCTCACTTCTGCCATTGTGATTCTTTGTTTTTATTTAATTTTCTTTGATATTTGTGTACTTTTTTGTATGCATGATGAAATTGAGCGCTCTTATCTGGGACTCGGGTTTTTTTTAATTGCAAAGAGCTTTGGTAAAAACATAACATCAAACAAAACCATCCATGTTCCATCCTGGCATTTCTCTTGAAGTATCTCTATCTATCCATCGTAGTCTAGGGTTATAACTTTTTACGTACGCTTATTGGTTGAGAAATGCCTTTAATCTGATGAAAATTGGACCCCTCAGTTGTCAGTTCTTTCTTTCTGAATAAAACTTTCTTGTGGAATTTGTTATATGACAACAACAACAACAACAACAACCCAGTTAAATCCCACAAGAGTAGGGTCTGGGGAGAGGGTGTGTGTACGCAGACCTTGCCCCTACTCGAAAGTAGAGAGGCTGTTTCCAAAGAGACCCCCGGCTCAACGTCGAAAGTTGCATTGCTTGACTAACTGCTACTTCATTAATTAAAGAAGCGCAAATAGTTTAGAGATCCATTTTGATTTATTCCATCACACCCAAAGCCAAAAAATAGTGAAATTTTGGCTCCATCGGAGATGATGGAAAATTTGTATGACTAAAAACACAAAATAGATACTGTTTATAAATGTCATTCCCTGGACAGGGACATACAGGATTTCAGGTATATGTTTCAAATGCATAGGGATGATGAACTTGAGAAGAGGGTAATAATAATTTTTAATAATGGATCCACTAGTAATTGGGTATTGTTTACATGGAACTGCAAATGTGATATCATCTCTTTCTTAATGATACCTTGCTAGGGGACTAAACTGTATTGGTCACACAATAACCATTTTTTCTATAGGTACATGGCCCTGGTGCAGATATTGACACATTATGTGTTGGACCAAGATATGCTACTCGNGACAACAACAACAACAACAACAACCCAGTTAAATCCCACAAGAGTAGGGTCTGGGGAGAGGGTGTGTGTACGCAGACCTTGCCCCTACTCGAAAGTAGAGAGGCTGTTTCCAAAGAGACCCCCGGCTCAACGTCGAAAGTTGCATTGCTTGACTAACTGCTACTTCATTAATTAAAGAAGCGCAAATAGTTTAGAGATCCATTTTGATTTATTCCATCACACCCAAAGCCAAAAAATAGTGAAATTTTGGCTCCATCGGAGATGATGGAAAATTTGTATGACTAAAAACACAAAATAGATACTGTTTATAAATGTCATTCCCTGGACAGGGACATACAGGACTTCAGGTATGTGTTTCAAATTTGATGAACTTGAGAAGAGGGTAATAATAATTTTTAATAATGGATCCACTAATAATTGGGTATTGTTTACATGTAACTGCAAATGTGATATCATCTCTTTCCTAATGCTACCTTGCTAGGGGAATAAACTGTATTGGTCACACAATAACCATTTTTTTATAGGTACATGGCCCTGGTGCAGATATTGACACATTATGTGTTGGACCAAGATATGCTACTCGAGAAGTATGCTAAGAAACATATTTTATGCATTGTGTTCAATTTTACAGAGGCAGTACATATTAAGTATTTATCTTTTTTGCAGGACTTCTTTGGTGAGCTTCATAGTATGCTGCTCGAAATGGAAGAAATTCAGGAGTTACATCCTGTTCCAGATGCTCATGTTCCTGTGATGAAATTCAAGTTTAATGAAATATCTATAGACCTTCTTTATGCAAATGTTGCACTCTGGGTTATCCCTGAGGTTCTTTCCATGACTCCCAATATCTAGATTTTTTTCCCCAATATTTATGAATACATTCTTATGGTTTTAGGCCATCTAATACTTTTGAGCATGGATTGTTTTATAAAGTTTCCTTCAAGTTTATTTCTTTTGGAGGATGTTAGTCTATTTAGAAGGTAGAGACTGTGGCATATTTTTGAACTGTTTGTTCCTTGTAGGACTTGGATGTTTCACAAGAGTCCATATTGCATGGTGTAGATGAGCAGACTGTTCGTAGTCTAAATGGATGCAGAGTTACTGATCAAGTTTTACATTTAGTTCCTAGTATTCAGGTGGTTGTGAGCTCAATTGTGTGGACTAATGTATGCTGTCTTTCCCTAACTTCTTACTGTCTTTCACCCTCTGCTCCTGTAGAGTTTTCGTACTACATTGAGATGCATGAGATTGTGGGCAAAGCGGCGTGGAGTTTACTCAAATGTGAGGAAATTATAATAAGACATTCTCAACTGTTCTACATAAATCCTACTCCCTCCGTCCCCCAGTTTTTGTCCACTTTTGACTTTTGGAACTGTTCATCTAAGCACTTTGACTCATCAAATTCTCTCAATGTGTAAGCCTAAATATAGTCATGTGTGATCTTGTTTGATTTGTCTTAACATATAGATTATTAATATATACTTTCTATAATTTTTCAATATACAAATTACAAGATAAAATGGATTAAAGAAGTGCATTGGATGGTGTGTAAAAATGAAAGTGGACAAGTACTCTGGGACGGAGGGAGTATTTATGTAGTACCCTGTATATACATGCATGCGATACAAAGTTGTGTATTTACCTTTCTATGCTAATGTTGTTCTCTCTATGACTAGGTTACTGGTTTTCTTGGTGGCATTAACTGGGCGTTGCTTGTAGCTCGTATTTGCCAACTATATCCTAATGCAATTCCTAGCATGTTAGTGTCTCGATTTTTCAGGGTCTATAGTATGTGGCGTTGGCCAAACCCTGTTTTGCTTTGTCCAATTCAAGAAGGATCTCTCGGACTTCCATATTGGGATCCTCGGAGAAATTTCAAAGACAGGTCACACCTAATGCCTATAATAACCCCAGCATATCCTTGCATGAACTCTAGCTACAATGTGTCAACAAGCACACTTCGTGTTATGACAGAAGAATTTCAGAGGGGAAATGATATTTGTGAGGTAATCTCAATTTTTTTGAATGGTTTATTCTCTGATTGGGATTAAAGTTGAGCAGTCTTTTATCATGTGCTGAATGTTATCCTAGAAGTTCTTGGTGGAATCAAATGCAAAAGCTCTGCAATAAGATGCTTTTGCGATAATTAATTTCATCAATGCTTTGCAATGTTTTTATATTGCGAGTAGATGAAGCATAAATTTGGAATTTGTGAGCCCGCAGTTTTCAATTGTTTGCTTTGGGAGTCTAGTTAGTCTACTGACGAGTCACATTTCTTTTGGGGAGAAATTGAAGTCATTCATTTTTTCTTGAGATTGATCTACAAACAAATACACAGGCCAAATTATTATCGTTATCATATTGCAGACTTCTGCATGGTCACAATATTTAGTGTAAAAAATCAGTTAAATATACTACATACATATGCTTCTCTTGTGAAGGTTGTATTCTTTTTTTCTTCTTTTCTTTCAAAACTGATTTCTTAAGGTGCTTTATAGCTTGAAGTTCCAGTTCCACTGATATGTTTATATTAAACACATGCTTTATTGAGTGTTTGTGATAATGTGATCTTTATCTGCCATGTTGTTACCAGTCTTGTATTCACTGACTAGTATTTGGTTGCTTAGGCAATAGAGGCAAGTGGAGCAAGCTGGGTGAATCTCTTTGAGCCTTTTGCCTTTTTTGAAGCCTACAAAAATTATTTGCAAATAGACATATCTGCTGAGAATAATGATGAAATGATGAGTTGGAAAGGCTGGGTTGAATCTAGGATACGTATGCTTACACTCAAGGTTAGATTTGTCTCTTGAATGTTTTTCACATACAGATCTCACCAAAGGGCATACCGTTAATTTGCTTTTAATTTTCTATTAATTCAGATTGAGAGGGACACAAGTGGAGTACTTCAGTGCCACCCCTGTCCTGGTGAATTTTCAGATAAAGACAAACCATTTCGTCATTCTTACTTCATGGGGTTGCGTAGAAAACAAGGAACCAATCCGCAACAAGGTGAACAATTTGATATAAGATTGACAGTTGAGGATTTTAAAAGCGATGTATATCAATACTCTTTCTGGAAATCAACAATGTCAATTCATGT